ATATCACCCATTTTAAATTCTGGGGCTCTTTGTTGCACATAAAATAGTTTATCTAACGGTGTTATAATCTTTCTGCCTAGAAATAACTCAGCAGGAGTTTTGCCCGTTGTATCATGTTTTGCGGTCCTAAGGGCGAAAGCAAATTCATTGACATAGTTATCCCAGCTTTTATGAAAATTTTTAACATAACTACGGATAATTTTCACTATATTTCTGTTGACCCGTTCCGCTATATTTGATTGCGGCCGATACGGGACCATTTTTAAATGACGTATGCCCAGTTTTTGGCACATGTCTTCAAATATATTACTTACAAATTGAGGACCATTATCCGATATAACTTTTAGGGGCGCCCCGTATTTTAAAATATATTTATTTAAAAATAGAATCAGTAACTAATTTCGCGGAGGCTCGTTTTAAGGGAACAATTTCGGTCCATTTACTAAAATGATCAACCATAACAAGGAGATAGCGACTTTTATTTAACTGACTTTTTGGGAAAGGGCCCAATAAATCGATGCCAATTATTTTCATTTGGAAATTCGGATTTAATACTATTTAGAAACCCGGCCGGGCGGAAATTAATAATTAATTAACTGGCTTGACATGTTGGGCAGGACTGGACATACGCCCTTGTTAACTTTTGCAGTTCAGGAAAGTAGACTGCCTCGCGTACGCGTTGGATAGTTTTTCGAATACCAGCATGAGAAGCTAAAGGGCTGTCATGGAGCTCCTGCAGGATATTTAATCTAAGACTAGCTGGGATAACAGGTCGAAATTCGTTGTTGGAATTCGTAGTTTTTGTGTATAGAATAATAGACCATCTATTAGTTCGTAATGGGCCGCCCTATTTCTTATCGCCACAATATCTTGGTGGCTAAAATTTTCAGGATCCTTCAAATACTCATAAATACTTCCAAACTCAGGATCCTTACCCAGTTCGGTTATTACAGTTTCTCGGGAATTTATTGTACACGCTGTCAGCATTGCAACTTTTACGGTATTACCCTGTTCGTCTAATTTAATTCGTGATAGGGCATCTGCTACGATATTTTCCTTTCCGGGGGTATGCTTGATTACCAGATTATATTCTTGCAGCTTGAGTGCCCATCTTATTAACCTTGGGGATAAATTTTTCCCTGAGTACAATCTAGTTACCGCCGCATGATCAGAGTATACTGTTATCGGCGCCTTTCCAAAATAGACTCGGAACTTTTGCACTGCTAACAGAACTGCAAGTGCCTCTCTCTCGGTCGCGGAATAGTTTCTTTGTGTTTGATTTAAAGTTCGGCTAAAAAATGCCACGGGCTGCTGATTTTGCGAAAGTACCGCTCCTACCGCATAATCCGAAGCATCCGCTGAAATTTCTAAATTTTCATCCTTTTCAGGAAATTTCAACACAGGGGCTTGCGTTAATGCTTGTTTTAATTTTCGAAAGCACTATTGGCTTCGGCCGTCCACGAGAATCTTGCCTTTTTCCTTTTTAATTTTAACAATGGCTCAGCGATAGCCGCAAAATCTTTTATAAAGGACCTATAATATGAACAAAGTCCTAGAAAAGAAGAGAGCTTCTTTGCCGTGTTTGGAGTCGGATACTTTTGTACAGCGATTATTTTGATTCATCTGTCTCGATCCCTTTTTGCGATATTTTGTAACCTAAATATTTTAATTCAGGGGCTGCAAATTTGCACTTTTCGACATTAACTTTTAGACCGGCCTCATTTAATAAAGAAAACACCTGTCTTAAATCCTGTACATGTTGGTCGAGATTATCACTAGTAATAATGATATCGTCTAAATAGATAAATGTGGACTTTCCAAGAACAGGTCTTAACACAATGTCCATGCATCGCTGAAATGTTGCTGGGGCGCCCTGAAAGGCCAAACGGCATACGCAAAAATGCATAAGTGCCAGACTTGGTTATAAAAGCAGTCTTAGGCACGTCCTCAGGCCTGACCCCTATTTGAAAATAACCATTCGTTAAGTCTAAAGTCGTCATAAATTTGGTTGATTTTATGTTCCTTAAAATTTCTTCTATGATCGGTAACGGATATACCGGATATTTCGTTATGGAATTTAATTTACGGTAATCAATAGCGAATCTCCACCTTTTTGGATGCTCCAAAGGATAATCATTATTTTTCTTACATAAAACCACCGGGCTAGCATAACTACTTGAGATGGGCGTTATGATCTTTTTACGTAGCATATCGGTAATATGCCATTCTATAATTTTTTCCTTATTCTTATCATACCGGTATGGTTTTTGACGAACTGGCAATGCATCTCCGGTGTCAATACTATGGTTAGTAACCTGAGTAAATCCTGGAATATCACTAAATAAGGAAGCAAATTCACTTACCACTTGTCGGATTCTATCTTGCTCGTCATTAGGCAGGTGGTCAAGATTTAACCTTGGCGGTTCAACCTTTTCTACACGCAACTGGTTTCATTGTCAGCTTAAGGGACGCTTCATTAAAATCCAGTGTAGCTTGTGCGTCTGAAAGAAAGTCTATTCCTAGGATTAAATGTGCTTGCAAATTCTTTACTATAAAAAAACATCACCTTTACTTGTTCGTCCTTGATACGGATGTACAAAGGTACTTTACCTACGCACTTACATTGTTTCTCCTTGCGCCGCTAATACTGTCGTATTATCCGCATTATATATGCGGTATTTGCGAAAATACTTTCTAAAAAAGACTTCTGCCACACAGGAACACTGCGCGCCGGTATCCAGGAGTGCGGTGGCCGGGATGATATTATTCACCAAGACTTCAATCTTCGGAAGAGTCAAATTTTTCACCATTACTGTATTTAACTTGTAGGAAGAGGGGTTTTCGTGGCCTTCGGATTTCCGCACCCTCTCGTCAGCAGAAATCCGTTTTAGTTTAAATTATTTTTCCTTTCCGTGCTTTCCTTCTTTCTCCACTGGCCTTGAGACTTTTTTCCTGGGTTGCTATTGAACTGTCGACGTTCGCCGGCTGTTTTTGAATGCTCGGGTTTCCTTGCCCACTGATTCGCTTTTTCTCCGTAGCCATGTGCTTGAGTTGCTGTAGTGTAGTCTTGGCGTACCAAATTGGTTTCGCTGTTGATATTGGCGTCTTCTTTCGACGTCCGCCGTTCTTCTACTTTCAAACTGGATTGCTAGCTCAAATAACTTTTCCAGTGTAGTCGGATTTCTTAATTCAATAAAGTCTTGCACTTGGGGTAGTAACCTCGGCAAAATCACTTGAATTATTTCAGGATCCGGACGGTTTCCATACAAGAGCTTGAAAACGTGAATTTTTCTTAAAATAAAGCTCGAGAGGTTTTCGATTCTTTGTTGATATATACTGAAAAGTTCCGTTTCTAATTTCGCACGATCCCTTACAACAGGGAAGGCTTTTAGTAGGGCAGTCTTGAAATTTTCGTAAGTATAGGTGGGACTTCCTGCTTGACCCAAGAGACTTCTGCCGATACATTTGAACCAGTTAAGCGCTTGGCCCCTCAAAGCGCTGGTAGCTAAGGTAACTTTTTGAAACTCGTGCACGGGGTAGAGCATGAAGTGGTCATCCAATTTTTCCAAAAAACTGGTTACCTGGTGAGTTTCCATTAAATGTTGCTTCTGGTTTCATCGAAGCGCGCATGGTCTGGACGATGTAACCCAAATCCTTCCAGGGCGGCAGCTGGCATTTCTGGATTCTGAGCCGTTTCTGCAGGCAGCACAGGTTCTTCTTGAAACTCGGCCATGGTTATTCTTCGTTCGGGCGCCACTATCAGGTTCAATGTTTCTTCTAACCTTCTTCGGAAACATACAATGGACCTGACTAGGAACAGAGAGCTTACTAAAGCTATGTTCACTAATTGTAGTAAGTAGACAGGATACAGACGAAGGGTATACAAAACCCTTTATTTTTCTTTATATACAATGACTTCCGTACTTCGGAATACAATGACCCTCCACTCGGGGTCTAACGTAAAAGTATAAAAAATAAACTAAACTCTAATTTAACTTTAGAATAAGATTGGCCTTATAATAACAGGAAGCGTATGTAGCACAGAGACTGTGAACACTACAATACGTTTAATTTATCAAGAGGATTAAAACCTCTGGCCTGGAAGGCAAATAGCAACTGCGTAACTTCTAAGGTAAGCGGCCTGCTTCGAACTCACTGCTTCCTCTCTCCTGCTTGGCAAAAAGGCCACACTTAAATACTTGGCGTTCGCCAGACAACTTTGCATAAAATCCTTCACGCTTATAATTCTGGCCGGAAGTAGAAAATAAGAAGTGATAGTAAAGATTTAAAATAAAATAAACGTTAGTAAAACTTAAGATCCTTACAAACTTGTATAGGTTTATGTTAATTAACCCATTTATCTTATTACTTTGCCTGTACAATCACTTCAACGATGCCTTTACAATCAATTACTTTAGTTTCCACCAGGATGCAAATTAGTTAATGTATAAATTCAGAGTTTTTGAGTTTGAGAAAGAGAGTATTTGCCAACCTTACTGACCTGCCTACAGTTTATGGCTTCCTGCTAATGAATTGATTTATCAGATTTAAGTTCGCAAACCGCCATTTCTTTGTAAAATATTTAGAACCGAGTGAAAGTTTATTTATTGACGCGAGTACTGCGTTTTAATATTTTAATTTGATTGTAATGTATTCGTTTTGTACTTCTGCATTTCCCGAAAAGAACTGCTATTACGTTTCTGTTATGGTATAGTTTGTGTAACTGTCAGACTGACATATTAATAAAGATGCTTAATTTAAACCTTCAAATGAGTTTGTGTATATGGTACTTTTCAGCTGTAGCAGGACAATAAGTCCTCTGTCTGTGTTTCTAAGAATTGGCATTTAAAATAGGGTAGAACCATACAAGTGTAATCTCCATCTCTGTAACGGGCAAATTTAAAATATCGCCAAAGAAGTATATAATGGTTGCTGTGATAAGAACTGTAATATGATTTGGATCACCATTTACATCTCTTCTTTTTTTTTTCTGCAGATCAGATCCATAGCATTCCAAAAAATGTCTTCGGGACAGACAGATGGAGTAATTTTGCCTGAGTGTTTATGCTCGTTGCAGTTGCCTCACTCTGAAGAACATGCATCTGCGTTGCCACGTCAACAAATGTAAGTCAGAACATTATTAATCCAAAGGGGCTTTGTCCCTGAAGGACTATTGTTTTCGTTTTGCGATTTTGCTTCAAATCACTCTGAATGTCCGTTTCACTTTTCAAACTGGTGCCACCAAATATTATCGCCCTGTATTATATTTGAAGAAATTAAATAATGAAAAATCTGCATAAATGTATGTATATTTCTCGTATTGTAACAAAACAACGGTACCTAGAGCCATCGAATTTTGAATGACGTAATCTTACTGCGAATATGGGCATGTGGAAACCTAAATTTGAAATTTGGAATTTGTTTTATTATCGAATTCATGTTTTGTAAATATTTAATGAATTTTTGATTAACAAACTCAAGAATTTCAAAGCGAGCAATGGCAACGTTGTACAGAAAACACTTTTATCTCCAGCGCGTGAGACTGCCTATCGGAAATTCTAAAGATATGCTCAATTTAAAACTATTTTGACATATTGCTCTTGAACTGAAATTTTATATTTTAAGTGGCAAGAACGTGATATTTAATAAATAAAGGTAAAAGACAAATTAAAAAAAAAAAAAAAAAGTCCCTTTTGGACGTAATTTAAAATCTGAAACCTTTCAGATTTTTTTTTAGGTTTGAATTATGTTATTCTTTAGATTAAAAAGTAACAATACGTTGCCAAAGACTTTTCTCTTTTTATTTATTAAAAGTAAAACTGTAATAAAGGCATAAATTCCGAACTCCGGCTACAGTTCGACGTAAACTTCAAGCAAAATTGCAATGTAACTAGAGTTTCGCTTGAGGTGTCAAACAAGATAAATGAGAAATTAAAAAAAAAAGTCTAAACTTTAAATGCGTTCTACCAGAATTGGGTTAAATAATTAAATGAATCAGAAATTCCCTAAGGTCTCATGGCCTAAGGCCTAATTTACTCATGGTGTCTTTTGATGTAAAATCATTATTCACCAATGTCCCAGTGGAGGGTGCATTAAGATGTCTAGAAACCAGACTTCGCGAATTTCATTTCTCTTGCATCGAAATTGATGAGCTAATTTCTCTCACTCAACTCTGTTTGAAACAAACACATTTTGTTTTCCAAAATAAATATTACAAACAAACTGAGGGATTAGCCATGGGAAGCCCCCTCAGTCCCATCCTGGCTGATATCTACATGCATTATTATGAATCAAAATTGTTTGAAACTTTAAACTTCCCGGCATGGTTCCGCTACGTAGACGATACTTTTACCCTGTTGAAGGTAATAAAGATGATTTAAATAAAGTTCTTTCAACAATGAATTCTATTGATCCTGCTATTCAGTTCACTTTTGAACTTGAGACTTGCAATTCTCTTCCGTTTCTCGACATTCTGGTCACACGTAACACATCCAACTTCAGTACTACGGTTTACCGTAAACCTTCATCGGTTTGCCTTCCACCACACTTTAAATCATGTCATCCGACTAAACAAAAGTTAGCTTCATTTTATTCCTATGTTTTCCGTGCTCTTCAAGTTTGCTCCTCCAAACTAGCCCTTGATGAAGAACTAAATTATTTAAAAGCAATAGCTATTGACAGGGGCTTTTCACCCAACATTATTAATCAAGCAGTTAAAAAATTCTCATCTCAACACACTAAAAGGCACACTCTTGTTTTAGGAGATTATAAAAAAATTCTGTTGTCATTCCCTTCTTTCCATCAATTAGCTATAAAGTTGCACATATTTTGCAGAAATTTAACTTTCGGGTTGTTTATTCTCCCATCAATAAATTCCGAGTTCCATACTCAAGGACCCCATTCCGGATATGAATTCCTGGGGTATTTATAGGATTCCTTGCCAGTGTGGTTTAATTTACATTGGCCAAACTAAAAGAGCCTTAAAATTTTCGTCAAGGAACATGAGGCATATGTTAGAAAAAAGGAAACACAGAAGTCTTCTGTTGCTCAACATTGTTGGTCCGAAAATCACACTTTCAATTTTTCTGCTGCCAAAATTATTCAAAAAACATCTTCCATTGGAGAACTGGATTTTCTAGAGGCATTTCACATTCATAAAAATCTTTCTGTTCTAGTTAACGATCCTAATTCCAATCCAACTTTGCCTTCGGCCTTTAAAGAAATTATGTTTTAGTTCTGGTTTCACCAACAGATGGCGCCACTTGCTTATTCTTGTCCAGGTTTTCTTATCTTATCTAATCATTATTTCCTATCTTGTTCATTTGCGGTTTTGCACCTGAGGATGATGGTTCGGTAAAACCATCGAAACTAGTCCTATGAAAATTTTGTAAATATAACGCTGATTTTTGTTGTTTGACTTCTGAATTAGTATTTATTCGGCGTGTTATTGTGTCTTAATTAATTATTAATTATTTAATTTTTAATCGTTAATAAAGTACTTTTTATTCATCCGCTCAAGTTCAAATACAATTTTTTTTTAACTTGTACTGGAAGACACTTGATGTTAATACAATTTTTTCACATATTAAAAATTTTTTAATTATTTTAATTAATTTATTTATTATATTTTTTTTTTTTTTGACCTAAGTAGGGATTGACTTTAAAAATTTTTTTATATATAACTTGTTTAGTGTATTCTCGACCAGTATTTCCCAAAATGAAAAATTCTCTAACTAAATGATGAATAAATCTGCTTTAAAATAGCGAGGTCAGTTTCAGTATTGCCATCATTCATTTAGAATAAAGCATAATTAGTAAAATTATAAAACTTATAATAACCGAGAATTTTATCTTTTAGGCCTACACTGTATTTTCCTGAGTCTTCCGAGTCAGTCAACTGCAGCCCGAAAAGCCGAAGACTGCAAGAGCTACTTACTGATCTGAAGTCGGCTAGATCTAAAGATCTGGAACTTGGCGAAAGATTTGATCGAAACACTGAGCAAATTATGAGGGAATTCTATGATGCTGAAGAAAACCGGCATGGTACGAAAGCTAAAGTTTTCTTGTAACTGTGTTATAACGCTAATGCTGGTCAATTGTTTACTTGCTTTAATAGTAAAATTATCATGTCTGCTGCCAGTAAAATCGATGATCATTTCATTACGGTCACATCCGTGGGATCGGCATAAGTCCTAGAGCCGATGGCACCAGTAGTAGGGTAGGGCGGGTGTGCTGAGTAATGTCCTCCGTGACGGGCAGCTCCCGTAGTACTGGGAGGAAGGGACTTTCACCCTTTGGCCACTAACGGAACATATATGTCCCACTAAAAGTTTAAAAACTACTGCTGGGGTTAAAAAGTACTTAGAATCTCCTGAATGTTGGGGAACCATCTTCCAATAGTTGGAAAATCAAGTCGCCGCTGTGCTCGTTGTACACAAATGGACATAGGGAAAAGAACAAATACGAGTTGCCCAATGTGTCATGGTGGGTTATACAAAGAATGCTTTACCCTGTACCGTACAATATAAATTTATTTAATATAATAAGCTTTCTAGAATAAAATACGTGTCCTTCTAGTTAGTCGATCGCTGCGTGTGGTACATATGTATCCCATCATCATGCCTGGGACATATGGTCAAATGTAAGTCAAAAGGACTATTGTTTTCGTTTTGCGATTTTGCTTCAAATCACTCTGAATGTCCGTTTCACTTTTCAAACTAGTGCCACCAAATATTATCGCCTGTATTATATTTGAAGAAATTAAATAATGAAAAATCTGCATAAATGTTTGGCTTGGAAACCGTTCATTAAAAAAATTCCAAATGCTAAATTCACCTTATTTATCACATAGTTTGTTCACTTAGATAGAAAACGGGGTATTTTTTTTAATTCGTAGTCAAAGGATTAAACGACTAGTCAAATTTCCAAACGACTGGGTCACGTCGTACAAGTATCACCGAGAACAGGAAGTGGTGACCCCCTGGGCCCGGCTCGTAAGGGCGGTCGGAGAACTTTACCAAATCTGTATGAACCCGGTGTGGGCCCCGGGTGCTAAGTGAACTTGTATCATGTCCAAGGTGACATTTGCTTGGACTGCACCCCTTGCCTAATATGGGGGTTCTCAGATGGGACTCCAGCCCGTGTAATTACATTAAGTTTCAAGAACACGTAAATAATTTGTTATCTATTAACCGTGGGAGAGAAATTGGTTCAAAGAATGTCAAATCTAAGAGGAAAAAAAATCCAATTATTCTGAAATTATTTTTTTTAAATATGAAATTCGGAATCTTGTCTGCTGTTTCCTGCTTCTTATTGATGATGATTTCATTTTCCAACCTTAATATCGAATATTGCAATGTCCTTGCTCACAAGTGCGATTTTTAATACATTAAGTCTCATTTGTGTCCAAATACACGCAACCCATATTGGCTTAACTGGATACTTGTCTGGATACTGTGATATGCATTTAAATTCGGCCGCAAGATATTTCTATGCATTGTAGAGACATTAGGATTTTTTTGAGGTCAGAAACTGAATGAGCAATGTCTTCTCCGGGACCCGAACCACGGACAGAAATACGCGCCGATTGTACTGACCACTACACCACGAAGGCATGCTAAAAAGGCGGAAGAAATACCTTATAGCATAATTCAATGAAATAATGGCTTTAGATGGCCCAGTAGTAAGTAAAACTTAAGTAGCCGGTAGTTGCCTTCCTCCTTATTGATATAGACAAAGGATGAATTACTGTATCTCTAAATGAATCACTATATTTCTTTAATGTTGATGGAATGTCGATTTATACTGCACAGCTTTCCTTTTTCGTGATTACAATATTTCCTTCCACGAAAAATTCCGGGTATCATATTTCAACGAAAATATCCATTTTGACCACTATTGGGAAATGAAGCTCCATCTTCTGCTACTGTATTCAGTTGGTTTACAGAATTTCACAGAGTTCGCAACTCGCTTCAGAATGAAGAACACACAGCGAGGTCATTATCAGCAGTAATCCTGGATAGTATGTCTGCCATAATCGATGCTAATCGCTGCACCGCCAAATGATAGAGAAGCAACTTACATTGGACACATAAAATACATACATAAAATTATTCATAAAGAAATGCGTATGAAAAACCTAGTTTGCCATTGGGTTTCCCTTCATTTAACTGTGCATCAAAAAGAGGAGAGTGTCAGAATCAGTAAAGAAACCTTTAAATACTCAAAGATCGAGGCGACCGCATTATTTCTAAAATCATAACTGGTGGTGAAACATACATGCTATTTTTCTGACGTTCGAACACATAAAGAAAGTGAAGTATGGGTCTTTGAAAATGATCCCACGCCCACAATGGTGAAAAGACAACGTGCTATGAAAAAAGTAATGTATGTCGTTTCGTCAGAAGTGCAGGTCTGAGCCATCAAACTGGAAGGTCAGGAGGCAGTCACATCTAACTGATACACCACTGTCTTCCATAAATTCTGCAAGAAGTGAATGTTAGAGGACTTATGCTCCACCATGAAAATGCATCTTTTCATTCAGAAAGATTGACAATTGAGTTTCTTGAACAAAAACACATCAAAGTAATAGAACATCCACCGTATTCACCCGACTAGCTACGTGTGACTTTTGGCTAATTTTTAATCTAAAAGAGAACGTACGTAGACGTCGTTTTCTTTCCGAAGATGATATTGATGAGGCTGTAAATGCATTTGTTTTCAGCGATTCCAAGAAATTAATGGTTTGAGGCATTTGATCTTTGGAAAATTCGCCTACAGAAGTGTATTGATGCTGGAGGAGACTACTATGAACACTCCTAAAACTTCGTAAGTATAACTTTAAAAACCTATGTATATCTCAGAACTTTCAGAGTGACCTTCGTATACATATATGATTTAACGTTTCGTTCTAAAGGGAATTTTTTTCCTTATTTGGAAAAAAGGAGTTGTTAGATACATAAGAAAATACAAACTTTTTCTCATAAATGAATTTTTTTTAATTGTTGACGCGTCTTATAAAATAGGTTTGAGATGTTCTGAATATACATGTACTGTAATTCTGGTCATTTACAGGTCCATTAGACCTGGAATGCTCACCACTGGACGAAAAAGGAATACGACTAAAGTATGAATTGGAGCATAGCCGTTTCCAGTTAGCTGAAGTGAGAAACCAGTTGCACACTTTGAAACGTGAGCTCATTGCTTACAAGAAGTTAATTCGTCAAGAAGTGGGAGATCATTTAGACCTTCATGACATATTGACTGATAAGCGATGGAAAGGTAAGTTGAATCTTACTAAATACAGCTTATAAAGCTGGACCCCTTTTGTAAGTTCCGGCGCTAAACGTATAGCGTCTCGTAGTTATTGGAAAGCAAGAAACTAACGAGATGCTAGAAGACTGTGTGAGGAATTATCCTCAAGTACGACAAACTCCAGAGAAGAGTGTAAAGAACCATTTATTAACTCACTACCACGGATGGTACGGACTCCTGCTTACAAAAACCCAACAGTTCTAGCTTAATTCAAAAAGAAATAATTAACTTAATAGAATTAAATTAGCCTAACGGCCTTTCACAGGTTACTTAACCTGCAAGCAGGCTCTGACTCGTAAAAGTCGGCGTAAACAAGCTTAATGGCTGGAAGCTCTCAACGCAAAGGAAATCTAATCGCTAGTAAATCAAAGATATTAAAGTGGACTTCAGGCCTCAGAACACATTCTCCTCTCTTTCTAAATTCACCTTTCAAAACCTTCCTTTAAATACTAACTTCTTTCTACCTCATTTGATTATACACGCGCTGTCTCGTTAACATTCTGGTAAGAAAGCGTGGGTTAAAAAACGAGAATGATAGAAAAAGGATGTTTCAAAAATAAAATTAACTGTTAGATAAATTGAATGAATCCCCACAAACGAAACAACGTTAAACAAGGTCTTCTTAACACGTAAATGGGAATCCGTGAAACATAAAACCGAATGGAGAATAAGAAAACGCATCATTTTTTTGGTAACATTTATTGTTAAATTCTCTTTTGCTACATTAATTGTAGACTTATTTATTGCTAATAAATATTTTTAAAAAATGTTCAAGTGAAAAAGTTATGTCTGTGATGAAGAAGGTTCTGCCTCATTTGACATTTTTCATTCTTTTCTGAAGAAGTTATCTAACGTCGTTTGTCTTCTCCTGTTTCGTTCAGCAAGTAGCTGTTGACACCAAAATGAAACTTTGTCTTGACTTTGAACTTTCATGAAAACTTAAATCATTTTGAATAAACTGATCCATAATTTCCGTTATAATTTTTTTTTTTTCCGTCGAAAGTTCCCATTTCGCATTTGAACGTTATTAAAGATGCGGGATAAAACTGTCAAATTTCTTTGCGTTCTATGTAAAAGCATTTCATTTCAAAATCATAAACATTCTGCTAATTTAGTTCCAGTTAGATTTCTAAAGTTAAAATTTTCTCTCTTTGGGGTTGGTATTGTTAGTAATAGGAATAGTCAATAGATGGCAGCACCGCGGAATAATTTTGGCTCTTTTGGTTAGAATGGGGGGAAAATGGATAAACGTTAAATAGTACAAAAGATACAAAAGGAATGGCATGAAAGTGTTGTTTTATTAATTTATTTTATTAAAAGTATCCCGATTTGTCTAAATCGGAATATTTTTTGCCTTAAATTAAATTTTAAAATACTCGCTTATGGAATTTGTGAGAAATGGAAGAAACAGCGATAAAATATCTGGATAAAGATACTTTTTTTTTTTTTTTTTTTTTTTTGTCGCAAAATCGCTAAAGGAAACAAGAAGGAGATGCATTTGATAGGTAACCTGTTAGCAGTGCCTGGGTTGTACGCGATGCCGGGTTTGTGGAGTTTACCTTTTCATCTATGTAAATCCCCAAACTGCATCAAGGTGGTTGCCTTAATTCACTCGAAAGTACCTAATTCTATTAAAAAATAATGATATATTTATCCCCAATCCTAAATTGGGTACGAATTGTATTATTGTTGTTGTGGTTAATGCTTACTTGTCTGATCTAGTCAGCCCAAGCCCACGGAGCGCAAATTTACGCCTGTCGTTGAAAACAGCCTTGAGCTGACTTGAGCACCTTACAGGTAACAGTGCGATTTACCTCAGTTCCAACCCCAATTTTAATAGAGAGCACCACGGGGAGGAGCAGTCTGAGGGTCTCCCACCCCTCTTCCTCTATCCTTGACCTCTCGAGAGGGCTTTCGGATTGCCGCATATTTAGAGTCCCCCCGCACGGACACTATATATTTACAAACATTCATGCCTTCTCCGGGATTCGAACCCGGGCCCTTTGGCACGGCAGTCAGCGACGCTAGAAACTATAGTAGATCTATTTCAGAACATCAAGTACCACTCGTAACTAATGATTAAAATTTTGTAAATTAATTTTTAAAAAAAAGAAAGAAAGAAAGAAAAAGAAAACGTTAGCATATAAAAACAGTTCTACAGTGCTCGATTTTCTCTCTTAATATACGGAGAAATAAGTATGAGTGATATAAAGAGGATATCAGATTATGGGACACAACAAACTTGGTTATACATTTTTAATAATATTAATTAAAACCTTCATATGTGTACTAAATGCTTTTATGTTAACACAAACATCCAGCGTTTTGATAGTTGCAAACATTATCAAAATAACCTTAAATTTCTTTCTAATTGTTGAGAATGTTACTTGTCATCAATAACTTATAATTTGGTATTTTTTGGTAACGTCAACTAACGAGTTCTAGAAAGACTGTAGAGGAATTATCCGTAGGTCAGGAGGAAAGGATAACAAGCAAAGTCAAAAAAGGGTATAAATGATCCTTTTTTCAATCACAATATAGTTGCACAGACGGCCGCACTTGGGCTTGCATACGCCAACACTTCTGGCTTAACTTAGACAAGTAATATTAAAAGTAAAATAAAATGTAATTAAACTAGCCTTAGGCTCACGGGATAATTTAATCGCGCAGAAAGGCTCTGACTCGTAAAAGCCGGAGGTGCAAGCCTAATGGCTAGAAGCACTCAGCGCCACAGAATCAAATTGCTATTAAGTAACAACGTGGCCTTCAAAGAGGCATAACACGCTTTGTAAACGCGTGCTAACTGAGTAACGTTCTGGCAGGAAAGCGTGGGTGAAAAGACGATTGAAAGGAAAATTGCTAGTTGCTAAAAACCTAACTAGTAGTCAAAATAAATAAATTTCCACAAAATTAATCTTTTTTTAATTATTCATTGTCTTCACGTATGAAAGCAATGCTCTATTTCACTGTGCTTTTTACATTATATTTTACATGAGCTTTGCAGCGCAGCATACCCGAAATATGTATCGGTCGCACCTGTTTGTCATTTACCACCTTAATAAATGTTCATTGATGCATTTTCATGTGCCTAACTTTCCAAACTTCCCTTAGAATACGGGCTGAACTTAGGATGCTAAATGACCTAAGTTTTAGGTCAAGCCTCTGCCTGAACATATGCAAAATTTCGAACTATCCGTCAGCAGATATTTGCCTGATTTCTGTAACAAATATATAAATACCTATTTAATTTTGCATATTAATAAGACCTATTTCATTTTGAATTAGTACGGATCTGACAATTTTTACTTTTTCCACAATGACAATAAAGTGTGATGAATATTTATTTTTCAAGCGATACAATTTTATCCATCGTCTTATTTAAATGACACTTTAAAACCAAAAAAAAAGGGGGGCTGAGTGTAGCTGTTTTGTTAAGGCTCTGCCCCCGTGGGCTACTGTTGAGGGGCCCGCTACTCTGAAGTTGGGAGGGTCCCAAACCGGCCAGTATGGGCGCAGACCCAAAGACGGAAAGGAGGCTTTTCAACGGATGCTCGCAGGGGCCGAACTCTTAACTAGCAGCCAGCCAGCAGTCCCGACCTCCAGTGCAGCTGGATTACAGCATCGCGCCACCGATGCCAGTCACTGAAAGCCTTTTTTATCTGCTAGATAAGCTTTTAGAGGATCCCTGAAGCTTGTGCTGTGTGGTGCTATCTAGCGACAGATATTATTGAAAACTATAACAAAGAGAGTTAAATTTTCAGTTCAAAATTCTAAATTAAGAAAAAAGGTTCCCCTAACAGTTTTTCTTTTCTTAGGAGCGTTAGCCCAGAAGGGCTATTAGTCTAATACGGCATTCTGCGTCGGTTCACTATAAACTGCGTATCACTTTTCAAATCGTTGCCACCAAATATTATCGCCCCGTATGAAATGACCCGTAAGAAATTAAATAATGAAGAATCTGCATGAATGTATGCATGTTTCTCGCATTGTGAAAAAAAATGACGGTACCTAAAGCCATCAAATTTTGAATAACGTAATTCTGCACCCGAACATGGGCACCTGGAAGCCAATTTTGAATTTCGAATTTGTTTCCTTATCTATTTCATATTTTGTAAAACTTAAATGAATTTTTGATTAACAGTCTCAACGATACCAATGCCAACATTGTAGGGGGAAAAATATATGTCCGGCGCACGTATATCGAAAATTCTATGCTGTTTTGAATATTTTATGATTTTGCTGCTGTTGAATGGAATTTTATGTAGTTTAAGTGCGAAGAGCATGATATTTAATAAATAAAGGTAACATGCAAATCATTAAGAAAAAAGCCCCTTCGGACGTAATGTAAAATATGAAAGCTTTCAGATTTTTTCCTTCATAATTCTTACATGACGAACACGGAAAAAAAAAAGTAGCTACAAAACACAATATATCTACACAAAAACAGACGATTGAAAAAGAATTACAGCCGACGTCTTACATCTCTTTTTAAAATCTGAACTATTATTGCCAATGTTAATAACATAAAAAGAAACATAACATTTCACGCCGTGCGCCATCTGGTGAAAATAGAAATGTCTCTTCTTTTTGCTTGTGTTTTTCTTTGGAGACCATTTTCGACTGATATTTTCATGATTTTGTTATTTGCTTTCAACTTGATCTAAATGCACAATTTTGTAATAGTAGTATGAAGTGGCTTCAGATCCTTAAATTGACCTGTCATGGAAAAATGATTGCCATTGCCTCAAGAGGTTATACTTATGCTTGTTGGTCCGCGGAAAGTATTTCATTTCCTTTCTGCCACTCGAAGGAGGCATTCCCCTATCCGCCATCTTGGAGACACGCTCCCTAGGGGTTACAGGTTCTCTCGAATTTCCTTTCCAGGGAGAGCTGTATAGTGAAAAGATTGTGGAACGGGCAAAAGCTGCGATTTCCAGGCATGGATCCATTTGACTTCTCAAAGGACACAACACCAACCAAGTGGCTGCAGAGTTCTTGATAGGTTTTTGTAGCATTATTTCCGACGAAATATAAGCAATGAAAACACTGGGTTTGCAGATATTGTAGCAACTGTTATTATTATTCAATCGCAACTAGCAAACTTCATCTTAAAGAACTTTTTACTGCCCGAAACACATGTGCACAATATTCAGTTTCAATCGATGTACGAACCGAATTTTTTTTTCAAAACAGTTTCATTTGCCTGAATGATTCGTTTGAGATATGCCATGTTTTCTTTAACGTGCAAGGTCTATTTTAGCTAACGCGTTATTATTATTTATTATTATTATTATTATTATTTTGTTTGTTTGTTTGTTTTTATATCTTCCATTAGCCTGGACCAGAATGCAAATTTGGCTGAGTTTAAAACACGAAAGGGCTGCATTTTCGAAACAGAGTTATGCCATTTCACCAGAAAGCTTTTTAACAATGAGACGATTACCTATATGTTGATTTTTTTGGGGGGGGGAGCAAGAGATTTTTCTGTTCGTTATCATGGTAGCTCGAATAGTCTTGCTGAAACATTGAAGATTATCTACTGTTTTCCTCCTATTTAAATATTTCATTTCCTGAAATCTTACAAGTGGTAGTGGGTACAAGTATACCCAATACTACACAAGTATGTCTGCCACAACAATAACCCCGATAAATTCATCTGTCGAAGAAATTCCTTTTTCAGGCAGTCTCTCATGATTTTAATTCCAGTGAGAGGGATGCGCTGTATTGATGACACTATTAAAAATGCAATTTTAACGACAGCAGAATTTTCTCTCATGTCCAAGTAACTTTAATTGTGACAACCTACACAGTAAAAACGAAAACTCTAATGCCACGTTTTTTAATTATTGAGTAATCTCTAGGAATTTCGTGTCCTGTTGATTATGTAATTTTGATAGTTATTCTTTCTTGTGATATGTTAGGGATTTTTAAATGTAGTCAAAAACAACAACATTATTTTTGTGTAGATTTTGGATCAAATCATAGATATCGAGAAAAAATGCACAAATCCCTCTTCTTTAGCAACAAATATTTTTCCCGGTAAGAAATGGATCTAATAGGACAGCTGTTGAAAACCAAGACAGGTGGCAAGCATGCGATATACTTGAAAATAATAAAAATACAAGTGCGAAACCTAAACGTTTGCTACCTTTATCCCTTTTTTTTTTTTTTTTTTTCCTAGGTCGTGCTCAAGAGATCGAGCGACTGCGTTCACAAATTGCCGGAATGGAATCGAAGGCTTTTGGACACAAATATTTGAGGAATCCTCTCTGTCCTCCTCAGTACACTTCGAGGTTTCCAACTACGGATGATCTCATTCCGAGGAGTCAGGCTGAATATCTCAAGCGGGAAGCCCGAAAGCGGAGGGAGAAACAGGAAGAGGTAGAAAAAGAGGTATCAGGGCTTCTAAAAGAGTACGGAAATGTTAGCCTGGCATATAAAGCTTCACTGATTCATAATAAGATGTTAGCCGAAGAACTCAGATCCTTGAAGGAGCAGGTGAGGATGAGAAATGTTTTTTCTTATGAAATAATTTAATAACTAAAATTTATTAACTTAATTTAAATAACTTCGAAGAACAGGATTTCATCTTTTGTTGTAAATTACTATAAGATCCTTAAAAAATGAATATGCAGGCTAGGATAGGCGAACATCAATGAAGAGTTAACTGTTTCAATTATAACTGCGATTTCTCCTCCAAGGGTCGTATATCGTACTGGCGGAGATCTGTACTCTGACAGTCTCGGTTCTAGAGTACATGAACCAAAGGACCCTGTAAGATTGGGGTAAGGCTTACAACCGTGGTGATTTGGAGGCCCACAGGGAATTCAGTGTTGAAAGCCCTGCAAATTTGACGATCGGTCTTTCTCCAGCTTCAGAAGCTCCCCACCCTTCGTGGTGTATTAAAGGAAATATTTTTAATCCCTGAGGTTGAAGGGCCCGGGCTGTGCTGTGAATTGAAGTTTAACGACTTCTGAGCTTTGTTATCTTCCCCAAAAGAGTAATTCAATATGGGTGAGCCGTGTAGTGGCCTTATTAAAGAGTTTGGAAAAGTAATCTTATTGTTAAATGTAATATTGTGAACTGTAGTATTTAATGAGAGCTTAATTCAAAATGTATTCTGAAAATCTGAATTATAGTGAGAGCATTTTTAATCCACTACCACCATATACACCATGTCCACAGAAGTCCTAACCTGGCCGTTAATTTGCGCAACTGTTGATCGTAGACACATACTTCCAGTAATAAAATTGTTTTAAATGACGCGAAGATTCATGTTTTGGCAATTTTTAATTTAAAGAAATCAGCTTTGTATAAATTATGAAATCTATCATCTTTTCACATGTTTTTCCGGTGCTTATTATTATATGTAGAAAATCTTGTAATTGTTCCCCCTCCCCCTCAAAAAAAAGAATGAAAAAATGAAAAGAAAAAAGAAAAAGGAAGAAAAAGAAAAAAAAAAAAAAAGATTTTACACACTTACGAAAAAAATTGACCGAAATATTTGATATTAAAACAGAGAATCATTTTCAATTATATTATTATTCAATCATATTCCTATAAAATTCACACGCGAAATGAAGAGAGAAATTTTTGTACGTACTAAACCTATTTTGCACGTAACTAAAGATATTGCGTAGAAAAATGTTTCCTGTGATTCACGAGAATTTCTATGCAGATTATTGAGAAAATTATTCATCAATATATATACATATATATATATATATATGTGTGTGTGTAATATTTTGGCAGACAGGCACTGGAAATGATGAAGCTTAGCAATCTTGTCACTTCAGAAACCGAGTGTGGTTGTGGCGAAAGTGGAAAACATCAGAATTGAAGACACCAGGGCCGCTGCGTGGGGGTGGCAAAATTAATCGCCGCACAAGGGCGCCTGTGGCAAAGGGGGCGCCAAAATTTATTCTTATCACAAGAAATAAAATGCAGTGCTGGATTCTTCCTCTTAGATATGCGCACAATATCACAATATCATACAATATCACGCAGTAGTTACATTTTAAACTACTAAAACATCAAATAAACGCAATCCAAAGCTCAAAAAGCTAATCCGATCTCACTGCAAATTCGCTACAGTCAACAAAACAGTTATGTAAACAACTGAACTGAGATATTTCTCTCTGGCGTTTTAAAACTTTTTAATCGTGCACCAGAAGGTTCAGATAATTTCCGTTTTCTCGAGATCTGTAAATCTCGAGATTCTGTAAAGCAAAAGATTAAAATTACGGTCACAGCTAACACAGTAGTTAATTATATTTATTATGTTAAATATACTCGTAAATTACCAGATATCTATTATTACATGCGCGTGCTCCAGTATTTTTACATTTTCGGCGTAGCTTCTCTTAAAACTCGTCACGCGCTGCATTACACGGGGAAATAAAACGATTTTAATTACAATTCTACTAAAAATTGCTAACTATATGCAAAATCCGGAACAATATATTCGTTATTCTCTCCAGATCTAGGTGTCATATATTATTGTGTTGTCTTATTCATCTGTATTATATATCTTATGCATTGTTGAGGTATTTCCTTACTTCTGCAGGCCTCGTGACCTATCTGGTGGAACAAGTGGGGTTTTGCATTTATTTTCTTAAATAACAATAATAACAATAAACTAGTAATGGTTATAAAAAGGTAAAAGTAGTTTCGTCTAGAGAAGTGCGTCCAAGAGCAGGCAGATAGCTCAGCGGCAATAGAAAAAAAACCTTGTAATGTTGCGCGGCCCCTACCTGCACGCAACAATAGTGGTGACTGCTATGAACTGGAAAGTACACAAAGTCTTGAGAAGGGTTAAATCTCTTTTTATTCAACTTTAGAAATTACAGATGCGTGCTCTTGACGCTCACAAACTACGCCGACCCGGCGGTAAAATAAAAATAAGAAACTAAAAATGAATAATCACAAGTTACTACCTACGAGGCTCTCTAAACGTAACTAACCTAACCGCGTTCTAAGATACCGCTGATATTTCAGCAAACTTCTGAATATTAAGTTGAAAGATTCAACTATCTATTGAGGCAAGCACGCAGGCCGAAACGCGCGGTTCTTAACTTTCTACCTAGCAACCTCCACGCTCGTGAAGCAAGAAAGCACACTTTCGAACTCGTTTCCCTTCTATTTAACTCAAAATACTTCCGCTGACAATTTGAATACTTCGCGCGTTCTACTAAAATTTACATACTCTGGCATTGGCAATTCCAGGGGAAAGTAAGGCTTGACAGGGAAGATAGTTTAAATATAAAATAAATGTTAGTTAAAATAAATATAAACCCTACAACCTTAATAAACTCTCTGCTGCGAAATTACAATCTAAATCCTTTCAGTGTTTTCTTTTTCCTTTCTTTAATAGTATGTTCTTGTGTTGAGTGCTGTGTTAGTTTACATACACAAAGAAACTTGTCTACAAATTAAATTGCTTCAAAACATAATTAAAATATTAACTGTCAGTTTTTATTTATTATAACACATTTTATTCTCCTTTCCTGCAATTTTAATTGCAGTCTCGATAACCGCGAGTGTGTTTCGGTAAGTCTTGAATTGCTGTAACTGCTTTTATATTACCAGTTATGATAGAGATGTCGAACATTTTTGCTTCGAAAACAGCAGTCAACCTAGCAGGCCATTATGTTGCTGTTCCAAGGCCAATTTCAAATACCTGATATCAGTTGCCACCAGAAGAATATTTTCTCACAAATTTTAAGTTTAAAAATATTGAATATAATAAAAATAACCTTAAGAACCCTCTTCTCCAAAGACAGATGCGATATTTATCGTTTAAATATTACAGTATTATCTTTACAGTACAACATTATTATTTACAATTATGGAATGACCGTGCGAAATATTTACATGGGCCCCGAAGCAAAATAATTCTGCTCACGAATATATGTTACATCCTACTGCTCCTGCTTCTGCTCCTCCTTTTGTTGCTCCTGTTCCTGCTGCTCCTCTTTATGTTCCTCAGAGCAGCAAGAGGAGGAGCATCAATCAGGATGAGGAGGAGCAGCAAGAGGAGGAACAGCAGGAGGAGTAGCATGAGGAGGAACAGCAAGAGGAAGAGCAATTTAATTTGTTGTAGACAAGATTATTTAGCTATGTAAAATGATACAGCGCTCAAAACAAAAACGTACTCTTAAAAAAAAGGAAAAAGTCTGAGAGGATTTAGATTGTAACTGCGCATCAAAGAATTTATTAAAGGTTTTTTTTTTTTTTTTTTTTTTTTTTTGGGGGGGGGGGGGCTGCTGAGCTCGCGGTTTATCTGCCTGCTCTTGGATTCACTCCTCCTGACACAATTACTTTTACCTTTTTATAACCATTATTAGTTTATTGTAGTTATTGTTATTTAAGAAAAGAAATTCAAAACCTCACTTGTTCCACCAGATAGGTCATGAGATTTGCAGAAGTAAGTAAATACCTCAGCAATACATAAGAGCTATAATACAGCACAATAATATATGACACCTAGATCTGGAGAGAATAACAAATATATTGTTCCTCATTTTGTAGTTAGTTAGCAATTTTTAGTAGACTTGTAATTAAAATCGCTTTATTATTTCCCCGTGTAATGCAGCGCGTGACGAGTTTTAAGAAAAGCTACGCCAAAAAAGTAAAAATACTGGAGCATGCGCATTTAATAAATAGATATCTGGTATTAGTGTAGTCAAACAAGAAAAATCGGCGTTATATTTTAAAATTTTGACAGGATGGTTTTACCGAACCATCATCCTCAGCTGCAAAGCGCAAATGAACAAGATAGGAAATAATGATTAGATAAGATAAGAAAGCCTGGATAAGAATAAGTAAGTGGCGCCATCTGTTGCTGAAACCAGAACTAAAACATAATTTCTTTAAAGGCCGAAGGCAAAGTTGGATTGGAATTAGGATCGTTAACTAGAACAGAAAGATTTTTATGAATGTGAAATGCCTCTAGAAAATCCAGTTCTCCAATGGAAGATGTTTTTTGAATAAGTTTTACGACGAAATAAAAATAGCATTCCCAAACACTAAATACAATATTCATGATTCCGAAAATTCGCGAGAGGCCATTCGACTATTCCCGTCTACGAGCGACTTTAATCAGCCGAAATATTAATTATAAACTCTGAAAGCGCTAATTTTCGCACTCATTTTTCCGAGTGGCAACAGTCTCGCGCGTTGGAGATAAAAATGCTTTATTTTGAAAAGTGTTGCTACTGCTCGTTTTCAAATCGTAGAGTCTGGTTATTAAAATATTTATACGTTTTATAAAATCTCTCTTTTATATAACAATAAGAATGTCTGTTTGTGTGTTTGTTTGTTTGTTCGCCTTATTGATTTATAGTCAATTATGATAAATATTTTGCCACATTTAATCAACTAAAATTGAATCTTAGTGAAATATTTGATGGAACTTCAGCTTGGTTTTCAAATGCAAGTTAAGAATTTTCTTTTATTGTTGCCAAAACTAGATATGAAATACTAGAATACAATGCTGCCAATGAATGCATTTTCCTTTAAAATTATTAAATTGGTAAATAACTTGCATCTATCCAATGAATACAAGCAACATTTAAATGATAAGGTTAATAATAACATTTATATTTAACTGTTATCATAAGTTTCATGAAAGTAAATGTTATTATTAAGAGAAATATATTATTGTGATGAAAAATAAAAATGTCGTTTTTATTTATAAAAATTGCCGTAAATGAAAAAATCAAGGACAAATAATTATAATTGATTAAAAAATTTGGTAACAAAGATAATAACATGTAATTTCATGAAACTTATAACAGTTATATATATATAAACCTAAGTTTTATGTTGGCAATGTTTCGTGGCGTAGGCCTACTGGGGATCCCACCCTGTTAAATAATGAAGACGCATCCCGATACGCAGTACCTCATGGGTGATGCGGAAATCTGTGTATGACAGATTCACTGACTGGCGTTATATTTCCCGACTTTAAATTAAAAAAATTACATTAATTATCAATTCGAAATTAGACATTTCATCCATATAAGAAGTCTAGGTTCGCATTCAAATAGATAATATATATATATAATGAAAATTATTTTCGATGACGGATGACGTAGATCAGTGGTCTTCAAACCTTGTCAGCTCATAGAATCCTTACAAATATAAGGAATTTTACAAAAAACTCCATTCCAATCTTAGAAAAATGTATCTTAAAATAATATTTAAAGTAGATCAATATGTTATAGGTACTTCATGTAAAGAAAATGTTTTAAAAAATTATTTTCATTTTAATTAACATAAAACGAATATAATTTGCTCATTAATAGCATTAATGTTTTCTTCAGAGTTCACTTACCCTTGCCTTATATTTAGTAACAGGAGTGTGGTTGCATTTTTATTCACAGAAACTGGCGAAATCTAGCTCTGTTGATGCTTTCTGCAATCGCATTTCATATTCTGCATTTAATTTGTTTCCACGTTTTGTTTTTGTTGCTACGTACGTTGAGAAAGATTTTTTCCTTAAGTACGTTGTTCTGAATGGAATTAAAATGTGTATATCTGTGTGAGAAACTTCCAGATATTCTACAGGAACCTACAATTAAAAATTCAGCTATTATTGCAATTATTGCTTAAATATAGATTTTTAACTATTATCTATTGATATGTAGATAAGTTTTTCCTTTTCTCAACCAGTTAAGCCAGGATTTATAGTAATACTCGAAGGAATTTTTTTTGTCCAGTCCTACTCAGCTTATCCGTTAAACCCACGTTCCATTATATTCTCACATCTACGCTTACGTATTCGACTCCGAATATTTGCATAATTCTTCGTCGGTATAATTAGTACCTTTTGTTTAATATTTTTCGTAAAATTGGGCATAATTTGCAAATTCTTTCAATTTTGCTTATGAGTGTATATAGAATGTATCAGTACAGCGTTGACAAACTTTCAGGAGAGATGCGGTACACCTAGACGATCGGAAATCACATAGCAACGCAGGGCCGGAAACGCTTTCCTGGCGCGGTAGTGACGACACAAGACACAAAAAAAGGAAGGACACAAACAGTGAGACAAAACATGTTTTACTGTGCATAGTACGCCAGAAACCTACAAATAAGAACAAAAACAAACAGCGATCGTCATTAAAGAAGGTGTTCGAAGTTACGATCCCGGACCATGATGCAGGACTCACTTCTCTGGCTCATGGAAGATCTGCGGGCTCACCGATAATCTAGAACAAATGAGAGTCTGAATTCCTTGTTTCTCCGCATCTCATCGGTCAGTTCATTGACAACAATGCTCGTTTCAGCACCCTTTTCGAAGCTCTATTCAATCAGTGTGCCACTTTGGGCACAACCACAGAATTAAAACGATAAGTGCTATCTTCACAAAATTTTACTTGTGTACTCCTCTAGGCCTAATTAGACTGAATACCTTTTTTTTTTTTTTTTTTTTTTTTTTTTTTTATTTAGTTCAATAAATGTTTTTAAGAAACGTGTTCTCCAAAAAAAAAAAAAAAAAAAAAAAAAAAAAGTCTGGAGCACAAAATAGAAAAAGGAAATTGCAACGAGAGGAAGCTAATCAGAAACTGGCGGGATCTCTAAATCTTAATAATAGGATTAGACCTGTTGTGCAGCTAGGGTGGGGCAAGGGGGACATCCGTCTCCGGTCGCCAACGAGATATATACCTGTTATATGAAGTCGTTGCCGGTCGCAGCATCCAGGGGGCCCAAAATGGATGATACGCATTTCAGAATGAAATGTTTCCCATTCTTTGAAGACAGAAAGGGCGCAAAATCTTTAGGTGTTCGCGGGCGCTTAAAACCTTAGCTACGCCCCTGGATTAGCCGGACAAGCAATTGAACTAGGACCGTCAACATCTGGTTAGGAATTTCGTAATAAAAATTTATCTCAAAATGTAAATTCATAAGAATATGATTAAGAAGAAGCCACGATCTGTACCAATAGAAAACTTAGATGTTGAGGTAGAAAATTCACCGGTTGATAAGGTAATGTCTCAAAACGAAGATTTTTTGACTTTGAATTTAAACGATCCAGCTACCTGGCCTGATAACAATTTCTATAAAAATTGGAGATTATTTAATTGAAAATGGCCCTCCGGCTCGATAACCAAACATTTTCCGAGAGATAATTCTGGCAAAAAGTTTTCAGAAACGTTCTACTATAGAACATTACCGAATGGAGAAAAAGTATTTAGAAATTACTTAGTACATTCAAATTCCCGAAACGCAGTTTTTTGCTTCCCATGTAAACTATTGAATGAGAAGCATTCACAGCTTATTAAAAATTGATGTAATGATTGGGCACATTTAACCCTTATTTTGAAAATACATGAAATCAGTCACCTTAAAAATAGTTCAAAATGCAGTGAACTCAAAATGTCTTTGCGTAATTTATGTACTATTGATGCAGCTCAACAAAGATCTTATGATGCAGAAAAGGTTTACTGGCAATCGGTTATTGAACGGCTTATTTATTTAATTCAATATTTAGCCCGGGAATGCCTCGCTTTTAGAGGTTCTTCGAAAGAGTTGTATCATAGTGATAATGGAAATTTTTTTAAGTTGGTTGAAACCATAGCAAAATTTGATCCAATAGTCGCTGAACATCTCCACAAATTCAAGCATCTCAAAAGAAAAACGTGATATTTAATAAATAAATGTAACACACAAAATGTTTAAAAAAACGCCCCTTTGGACGTAATTTAAAATCTAAAACATTTCAGACTTTTTCTTTTATTTATTTATTTATGTCTTATAACATGGTTTCAGTTAGAAGGTTTCGAGAAGAAAGCCAAAGAAGACCGCCAGCTGATCAAGGATCTAACTGCCTATCAGTTGCAAATGAGGGAAATGCTTGAACGGGAAGCACATCTTGCCGAACTTGTTCGCAAGAACGAGAAGCATGAAGAATGTAAGTTTAGCTATTTTGCTCCATCACATTTTAGTTGCTAAAAATTTGAAATTGATGTTAACATTATTTACCTCTCCTAAACAATTTTACTAGTGGACGAGGGTTTAAAGACTGCTGAATGTTGAGAATTCGAAAAATATCACGTCAATGTAATCTGCACATGACCGGTAAACCTAAAATACGGTTACCCTCTCCGTCTACCTTTACAGAAAACATCGTAATTAAATATCTTGATCAGAACTTAGCGAGAGTATCATTTTTGTATCCGTAGATTCTGAAAGAGAAGAGGAATGGGATGCCAGCAAATATAAAGCGCTGTGGGAGGCGAGCGAGTTTTCAAAGCAGACACTGCAGGATATGGTACGCCTGCTGACCACCAGAGTAGAGGAAATGGCCCAGGAAGCAGAGACAGCTGAGCAACATTGTCTAGAAAATCAGGCTAGACAGAAGGAGCTTGAGCAACAGCTGGAGGCCCAAAAGGAGGCTGAGAAAGCGGCTGTCAAGTAAGTGATGTTTTTAAAAATTGTAGAGACATTAGGTTAATTGGAAAAGCCGGAGAGAGGAAAAATGAGCAAACGCCTTCGCCGGGAATCAAACTGCGAACCTCTGGAATACGCGCCCAGCGTGCACACCACCATACCACGAAGCATGCCAAGAAGGCGGGAGAAATACCTTATAAAATTTCTCCTAAAAATAAAGATCATGCAAATTTTACTTATTCAAACCCTGATGAAGTGTGCCCTTTTTTATATTTATTTATTACAGGGAAAGACTGGCACCACGCCTCTATCGATTAGATTTAGCGCCGTCTTCCCACAATCTAGAGAATCCATAGATGGCGATGAAAGGCATAGGAAGGCCACACTGACTCCCACACCAAACGCCACCACCCAGCGATGCGAGTCGACATCCTGGCCCTCGACACGTTTATTAATTTAAACAGTAATTACGTAATTTGCACATAGTTTGGAGTGTAGTACATAATTTGGACAGGTAACATAGTTTCATGTACAGAATTTAGAGCATACAGTAATTTAAATATAGTTGTTATGTAATAAGTAAATAACCTAATATGAATATATGTCATAAATTGGTGACAGCAAATGTCATAAAGTCAAAACATAAGAGTAACATAGAAATAACATAGTACATCCATATGTATGTTTCATATAGTTCAATAGTTCATAGGCCTTTTTTATATGTATGTTCAAAAGATTGAAAAGAACATTAGCATTTTTTTTCATATTTAAATGGTTTAGTTTGTTTGATTACGGCAAAGCACAAGCGCGCTATTTGCGTAAGGGAAGAGATGCCTTCGTAAAGTACTTTCTAAAGGAAACTGGCTTGTATCTGCATCACCAGAAAGGGAAAACCACGAAACGTTCATGCAACCAGCCCGCTCGCCAGGATCTGAACTCACGTTGAATTGCCAGTGTTCCAGCTGCAGGAATTTACCGCTAGGACACTGATGAGCCCAGATACACACATTTGAATGCAAAATTCCAAAAAATTTTAAAGCTACGTTATATATTTTTTAATTTGACTTGTTAACCCAAAAGGGCGTTAGCCGGAATGGCCTATTAGTCTCGAAACGCGATTTTGTGTAGGCAACTATAAACGGCGAATCCCTTTTCAAATTGTTGCCACGAAAAATTATCATACTGTATTATTTTTAAAGAAATTAAATAACTTAGAGTCTGCACGTATATATGCGCTAGAAAGCCCGGCGGGCATACGAAATGACCGCTGTTCTAGATATTATAAATTGTAATTAAAATGATTTGTGCAAAGGTGTCTGCTAATTCAAACTGAATTACCCAGGGCAGGCGGCGAGGACGCCCCTTTGCTTACTTCCCCACGGGGTTTCCCCCTTCTACTTGCTTAATTGCTTAAAGTAGAGTGCAATGAAGGAAACCACTGGCGGTACATTTCTTAAGAGCCACCGCTAGTACTACCCTGTAAGAGGGTCCCCTGCAGTACTCGATCTGGCTGCTTTCTATAATATCTTCTTTAGGCATGAAATTGAAGTGATACAAGTTTTAGACTCTGATCACTATCCTATTTTGATAACCTTAGATGTTCAAAATCGTTACTCAAAATTACAGGAGCGAGTCTCAACAAATTGGGACGATTTTCGATTTATTTTGGAAAAAACAGCACTCCCTCCCATACAAATTTCCAGCAATGCGGACTTTGACAGGCAGATTAAAAATCTGGAGTCTTTACTTAAAGAAGCGAGAGCTGCGGCTTCAAAACCTATTCAGCACCCTGGTGCTAGACTCCCACCTGATACTAAATTCAAAATTAAGCAGCGGAAACTACTTGAAGAATCTGGCAAAGGTCGCGCGATCCCAGTATCCGCGTCCAATTTCGCCAAGATACAAACCGAGATAAGGACTGAAACCCGCTTATTAAAACAAGCGGAGTGGAAAAATTATATTGAGTCCCTAACGACTGAAAACAAATCGATTTGGAGCGTAATCGGGCGTGCAGCCCCCCGATTACGCTCATTACAAGCTCATTCCGCCCCTTGAAACGGCCGATGGCGCACAGATGGCCTACACAGACTCAGAAAAGGCTGAAGCTATTGCTGACAGCCTTGCTACTCAATTCACACTAAACAACGACTCCTACTGTAACCGCCCGGTTACACAGGGGCGCATCCATTCACGGGTTGAAGACATTCTATCACAACCTTTCACGCCTGACCTCAGGCCAACTGATCCAACTGAATTCATGGTTTACATTGATAAAATTAAACCTGACAAGGCCACTGGCATAGATTCAATTTCGAATCGCATGATCAAAAACTTCCCCGTAATGTTTATTGTCTGGATTACGGTCCTTATTAATTTAATGCTCAGGAGAAGCTATTTTCCCGACTGTTGGAAAACTGCAGCAGTCGTGCCCATTCCAAAACCGGTACAAAATTTAAACTTACCCGTCAATTACAGACCAATTAGTCTGCTCTTGTCTCTCTCAAAAATCTACGAGTATGTCTTGCTTAATCGCCTGAATGAATTCTGTCGAGATCAAAATTTGATCATCCCGGAACAATTCGGCTTCCGACCTAAACACTCCACTGTACACCAGTTATTACGTGTAGTGGAATTCATTCATGAAGGCTTTCGCAAGCGAGAGAAAACTGGTATCGTCTATCTTGACGTAGCCAAAGCCTTTGATAGGGTTTGGCATGACGGACTTATCTACAAGCTCATGCGGCTTGGTTTCTCGGCTCATTTCATTAAAATTATTAACTCGTACTTGACCGGACGAAGTTTCCGTGTGCGAGTTAACCACGAATTCTCCACTCCCCGCCCAATCTATGCCGGCTGTCCACAGGGCAGTCTCGTCGGGCCTTCAGTTTTCAACCTCTACGTAAATGACATTCCTAAGGCCCCTAGTATCGATCTTGCTTTATATGCGGACGATACAGCCATCATCGCACAACATTCCAACACCTTCACGGTAATCTCTACATTACAGAGTTACCTTTCAGCCTTAGAACTCTGGCTCGGTTTGTATAAAATCAAAATCAATGTCGCAAAATGTGCTGCTACTCTGTTCATCCGAAGAAATATCCCCCGTTTAGATAACTTAATTCTCTTCGGTGAACCTATTCCCTGGGTTTCTTCATATAAATATCTTGGTGTATTACTTGATTCAAAATTAACTTGGCAACCTCACATTCAAAAAATCATTGCGAATGCGACGGCTGTCAAATCCAATCTGCGCCCCTTTCTTCGCTTTAAATAGCGACCTGTCAATTGACAACAAGATTTTGCTCTACAAGTCTATCATAAGGCCTGTTCTGACTTATGCATGCCCCATTTGGGGCCCATCAGCACTGACTAACAGAAAACATGTCCAAACTTTTCAATCTAAATTGCTTCGGCAAATACTCAAAGCTCCGTGGTATATAAGGAACGAAGAGATTCATAATGATCTCAAAATTATGCCCATTAATCGCTTTATACAGCGACTTTCGGAAAACTTTTTCAAAAATATTCAACATGTTGCAAATCCTGTGCTGCATATGCTACCTGTATATGATCCTGCAGTCGCCTCATCTAGGAAGAGACCGAGATCGGTTCTCAACCCGGATTATGCTGCAAACCCATTTAAACGGGCAAGGTATGCTCACACTGACATGCATGTGAATAATTACTTCTCGTTCCTTCCCCTTCCCGCCTCTCGAGTCTTGAATGCTTAAGTCATTGACCGGAGGAAACCCCTCCTGCTTCTTTAAGAAGAAGCTTTACAGTCGCAGGCGACTGAACCTAATTTTTTAAATCTAAAGTCAATTGACTATTTCTCTACTTCAAAATACTTTTCAGCCCTTCAAAAAGCCCCGTTCACATATAACGCTCCTTCGCACAGCTGCCGTTAGCAAGGGGAGAAAAAGGAGAAATGAAAGAGTTTTGTCTTTAGGAACCCGTTCAGAACAACACCGTCTTCCTACCCTTTACATTTAAGCCTCTGTGAACAATCATATCTTCGAATTGGTAGATTTCTAATACTGTTTACACATTTTTAACGTTGTTTACTGTGTTAATTTGTAATCTGGACTTTGCAAACTGGTACCTGAACTTTCGTAATGGTTCCTGAAAAAATATGCTTTTTAATTATTATATTATTATTTATAAGCTGTTATTTAGTTCACTCTTGGTGCTTGTCGCTATTTTTAAAAGATGATCATGGATTTTTAAACTGCTTTCCGATAAGATATAGAATTCAAACTTTGTACATACACTGCTTGTGGATGTGGTGTCACACTTTTGATTTTTAGAGGATTAGATTTTTTTCAAATTTAAAGTTGAAACGATTTTTTGCAAATATTCACAAATAAACTGAGAATCTCAGAATATTATAGTTTGCACCATAACACACTGTGGAGAAAAAAAAAATTAAATGAAATTTTTAGCGTAATTTTTTTAAAAAATATTTTGGGAGAATTTTTGAAAATCGTTCATATTTCTAGACTGCTTGACGCCCATTAATTTTAAAATTTCATATCTAAAAATATATCGGTTACAAACTTCCAACATTTTTACAGCATATAAAACAAACGTTTCGCATTTAAAAAAATTATACAGGAAATTAATTGGATGAGTTTTTTTTACTTTTTTGAAAGATGTGCAATGAAAGAGAATGGGAAATATTGGTTCTTTTGGGGTATCAATTCGAAACATCGGTTTCAAAGTAATAATCTCATTATACCACACTATTTTATGACATTTTATGCTATATAAGTTGTTATTGTTGTCAATTGTTAGTTCAGCGTTAGATTGGAGATATTTCTGAGTTAACTTTCTCTTAAGATGCGTTTTGCATTCCGTTGTGTTTAACGTTCTTATTAGATTGAAGCATAACTACTGATTATACTTAATGATATTCTAAACACTTGTACGAGTATTTCTGTGGAAAATTCCAGAACTTTGAAGTGTTTCTGTTGATAAAAGAAATTTAATTAAGCTATCATCGGATTTGAATGCAATGACAA